GTGGATCTCATAAGATAGAGTGGGATGTGTTTACCAGAGGCTGGGGAAGGTCACCAGGAGGTATCTATATTCCGGAATAACTTACTGTACACAATAAACAGATAAAATATGTCTTAGGTTTTAGTTACTTCCTGATTAGCGGAACAAAATACCTGACACCACCAGTTAAGGGAAGAAAGGTTTGTTTCAGTCACAGTCAGCGTCCACACGACAGGAGAACCAGCCCACGGCAGGGCAGACAGGAGACAGCGAGGGGAGTCTCCCCTTCCCTTTATGTCCCATTCAGGCTACGAGCATAAAGCGTGGGGCCACCCACACCCAGCCTGGGGCTCCTGTCTTCAGTAAATCCATTCCGCACACCCGGAATTATGCTAAGCCCATCAGGGGGTAAACCAGGATCCCAGACCTGACCCAGCCACCGCCCAAGAACCTCACCCCCGAGCACGTGAGGCTCTGGAGGACGCCTAGATACAAGCCACAACACGATGTACAGACAACTTATTTGTTGACTGAAATTTTTTTAAATAATTCATGAGACAATTAGGGAAACTTGAACAAATAGAACATTTGGGGATATTAAAAGGTGCCTGGTAACATGTGTTAGCATGATAAAGTCTTTGAATCAGATTTTATTGGTACGTTTTGGACATCCATAATGATCATGATCACAGCATGATAAAGTTTAAGGAGTCTTTATTCTTTAGAGATGCGTGCTGAAATACTCATGGATGAAATCATATGAAGTCAGCCAGGCGTGGTGGTACACACCTGTCATCCCAGCACTCAGGAGGCTGAGGCAGGAGGGTCGCTGCAAGCCTGAGGCCAGTCTGGGCTACACAGTGAGCTCCAAGCCAGGCTAGACTGCATAATCAAACCATCACATACACACACACACATTTCATTACCTTGATTTTTGAGTTCACACTGGGTCAGAGAAAATGTTCCCATTAGTACTTTGTCACTTGCATTTCTCTGGTGAAACTCAGTCATGTTTTTACGCTATTTCTCAGAGCTTCCACTTTCTCCTAGGGAGAGACAGACAGACAGACAGAGACAGAGACAGAGTGTGAGGATCAGATTTGGCATGTGGAGCGCCCAGCCCCGGGCCTGACACCCAGCAAACTGTAGCTACTGACGTTTCCCAGGACAGTGACATCAGAAGCAGAGAGCACCGTCCCTTCAGGGTCACTCAGGGCTGCTGGGTTTGTGCAGAAAGCTGCCCGGATGAGATAACCCGATGGGCAGTAGGCCATTCCCTTACTCACTCAACCAACCTTTCGAGAACTTTCTAGAAGCCATGAGAAACACGGGGCACAGGGGAAGCAGAGCCCACCACCCTCCTGGGGCTTCCAAAGCGAAAATCACAAGCAGATGGTGTCAGGGAAGACCGGAGGCAAGATTCTGAGGGACATCCAGGGTCACGTTTGGGACCCACTTGAAAGATGCAGAATTAGCCAGCGTGGTTTGGGGGTGTGAGGAAGGAGGAGGGAGAGAAAAAGGACACGGTGTTCGGAGCTGCTAGGAAAGGGCATGTGCAAAGGCCCTGAGGACAGGAAGAAATAATGTCAGGTGCAGACCTGCTCCTCAAAGACCAGGACCTGGGGGCGGTCATGCTGGGGAGGGGTTTCCTTTCTCTTTCCTTCATACACTTCTGAACTGGCTAAATGTTTTACAAGAAGAAGAAAAAACTCAGAAAAGAAAAAAATCTCATAAACTCTCAAGAAAAATTAAAATAAAATAGCATTTTCACTGCCTTTTCCTCTCAAGAATGCATAATATTTTAAAAACTTCGTACATCTGCTAAGGAAACTACCTCGTTTACACGGGACGGTAAGGCTGCGGGTGTAGCCAGGTGGCAGACGGCTTGCTTAGCACATGTGAGACCCTGGTTCCATCCCTAGCACTGCTCAATAAACACAAATTGTGTTTAAAATGTAGTAGGCATGGAGCAACCCGCTCGGGACCCCCTTCTGTCTCTTCAGACAGAAGCTTTCTTTCTCTCAATAATATATTCTATTAAAAAAAAAAATGTAGTGGGCGTGAGAGTCCCTTCCATGTGGTTCGACAGGCCTCGCCCGCCTGGCCTACCTCTTTGTAGAGGCAGAACTGGTCACTGCACCTAAACGTTTCCAGCCACAGGGGAGCTCCGGCCCCGGGACAGATCTGGGAGAGCAGAGATGGGGGCTGGAGGGAACACCCCACCAGGGAGTCTGGGGAGAAGCTCAGCTGCCCAAGTGATGGAAGGACTCGGCAGCCGGTCCTGCAGGCTGGCGCTCGCCAGGGTAGCTTGCGGTGGGTTGTGAGGGGCACTTGTGTGTCTTTCTGGGTACTTTCTGGGTCTCACATCTGGGGCCTGAGGGCTGGTTTCCTTTGATGTGGAGGTGGTGCGGACAGCTGCCTGGTTCACAGCAGGAACTCACAGGATTGCTGGAGGGAGAGGCGGCAACCCCACAACCCCGGGGAGGCCCTTCCAGGTCGCACCTTGCGGGGTCAGTCTGCCCAGTCCACCACTGCATCTCCTCCTGTCACCGCCCCCCCAGCAGGAAGGCCTTTCACGGAGGGACAGAGCCAGGAGGCTGCTGCTTCCGGCCGGCTGGACCAGTGCTGAGAGATACAGACAGGTCTGTCCTGGGAAGAAGGCCGGACATCGCCCCGTCACCGGACAGCTGTGTCTGGCAGAAGTCTTGATGGTGTCACTACCGTGACTTGGTTCCTCAAGGGCCTGTTAGTGTGTTCCTCACTGGGGGTGACACCTGGAGCCCCCCTGTCACAACACCTTCATCCGACACAGCAGGAAACTGAGGCAAAGCAGGAATTCTATCACCAAAGAGCTCAGGAATATAAACCTCTGTGCCTCGTCACCCCGGGAGGGCCGCGCATCCTGAGGCTCAAGAACAAGAACTCGAAGGCAAGGTTTCTCTCTTAGCTCTGACTTCCTGGAGGTGCAGCCTTGCACGGACAGCTCACCTTCTCCAAGCCTCAGTTTCTCCACCTGTGAAATGGGGATAATAACCGTTACCTCTCAGGGTCCTTAGGGCACTTTTCCCTCTGCTTACTTTGTTAAGTGCTCACCCATTTATCTTCAGTTTCCCCGTCCCCGCCGTGCTCAAGGACAAGTTCTGGATAGCCCAGGGTAGACTCGGAGAAGTACGTGACAATGCCACAGACCCTCAACACAGTGCTTGCCCAGGAAGGACACACAGACACACACAGACACATTCATTCACAGGCAACCATCGGAAAGGACAGAGGGAGTCCACTGTTTATATTCAGAATTTAGCTTCAAAACCATCAAGTAAGGAGGAACTGGGGGATCAATCAGTTCTCTGGAGCAGGCGTGTGGTCAGGTGCTGGGACCCAGCACCCTTTCATGCCGGACCAGGCCTCTCACCGGGTTTCCTCTTGGTCAGGGGCCCCGCTCAGAGCGTGGACTCCATTCCTGGCCTTCAGGACGCCTGCCCTCAGCTCTGGGAGGCTGCAGCAGGAGCAAGGAAGCATCTCACCGTGCCTAGAAGCGGAGGCACGGAGCGCTGGTAGAGTCCCGGGTAAAGCAGGAGACGCCTGGCCAAGTTTGGCTTCAGCTGAACCACAAGACGACTCCAGTAAGAGTGTGTGCTGACGATTACACAGGAAGTCGGTCCCCCTTAAAAAAAAAGATTTGTTGTTTATCCAAAATTGAAATTTAAGTGGGTGACCTGCGCTTTGACTTGGGATTGAACTGCTGCAATCTGATGGGGCACAAGGTGGTGAGATCAGGATCTCCACCCGGCCTCCGATCAGAGCAAACCTCTCACATCAGTTAAGGGGAAACCAGGAGCGGCTCAGTGGACAGCTCCATAATCCCTGAGCCCTCACCTGAAGCCTAACCAGAGCTGGCAGGGCCTTGGCCTGGATCCCAGCTAACCCAGGACCAGAACGGTCTCGGACACACAGCAGGGTCTTCCCAACTCTCTGTTCTGCTGCAGAAATAAAGGATACAAATGATACAGAGTTAAAAAAAAAATAAGTAGAGAACTAACACTAGTTAGCATATTGCATATTGTTGTCTTAGAAGTTGTTCAGGTTATAAAATCGAGGCACAAAAGTGATCACTGACAGCACAAACTGTTCTTTTTGATGAACCAACCGAAATTAATAGTATAATTATCTATCTAGCATACATATGTACATACATTCATACGTGTTTACCAACATACCTATAATCCTTTCCTGTTTTCCTTTCCCCTCTCCTATTTTTTCTGTCCTTTGGAGCACTTTTTTGCCCTTTCATTCTTACAATGTCTACTGTATATTTAAGATCTTGTTACTCTTTCAGATTTTTATTTATTTATTGTTTATACTAAGGAGACAATATGATATTTATAAATGTGAGTTTGATTTATTTTACTTATGAGTGTCATCTCGTTGCCTCCATTTACCTATAAAAGCCTCAAAATTATCCTTTTTTATAGCTGAGTAATATTCTGTTGTATGAACCCGCCACTCCTTTTTTCCTCATTCTGCAATTGACGGGCATCTGGGTTATTCTCAAGATTTATCTATTAGGAATTGTGCTGCTATAAACACGGAACACATATCGCTGTGGCATGACATTTTCAATTTTTCTGGGAAAATACCCAGCTTGATGCTTTTAATGCCTAGGATCAAACACAGCCTCTGCGCAGCCCCGGCCCCAGAACTGTTTTATGAAAAACTGCTCACACTGCTTTCTCTAAATAGTCCTCACAAAGCAATGAAGTCAGCTCAGGAAAATCCCAGCTCAGCTCCCGACACTCCCAACCTCCGCCAGACCTGAACTCAGGTAAGCAGCCCTCCCCGCTTGGCTTCGCAGGGACAGCACGCCTGAAAGAGCCCTGCGCACGCGCAGTTCTCCGTGTGCTATGCGCATGCGTGGCTCAGCAGCCAGGCGGACCCGATGATGCATTGTGCGCATGCGTCAGGCTAGAAAGCGCGGGAAACGCTGTGTCGCCTGGCGGGGGTTCTTGCTGCTGTCCGCCCTCATGGCTTTTGCACCCATGGGGCCTGAGGCCTCGTTCTTTGAGGTGCTCGACCGCCATAGAGCGTCCCTGTTGGCTGCCCTGAGTAGAGGCGGCCAGGAGCCCCCGGGACAGGGAACTCCCGTGGCCTCTAGGTACAGGAGCTCCCGCCGGGCAGCCCGCAGAAGTGGCGGCCGGCCCGGGGCTGCTCTGAGGAGAGAGTCTGCGCCTCTCGGCGGGGCGGCTGGGACGCTAGGAAAGGCTGTTCCGGCTGGCCTCCTTCCTGCTTTTCACCTTAGTTTGAGTTTGAATTTGAATTTGAATTCCTGAAATCTGGTGACGGTGCCCTGCTGTTTTCTGGAATGTTCCCCTTCTAGAAGCTTCTAGAAGGCTCGCAGATTCCTCCAGAGACCTAATAAGTCAGGGAATTGAGGGGTAGGGAGTAGTTGGGCTTCGTATTTGTTTTTTCAAATTATTTTTAAAAATAAATGTTTCACTTAAAAAGCTTTGGAGGCTTTTTTAGTGGGAGAAGAAAGGAAAGTGAGCAAATGAATCCTGTGCGTTTGCACGTGGTGAGCTAATGGCTCCCTCAAAAGTTAACAAGGCTATCGCCCTTTTTCAGTGGTTTGTAATGCTGTAACGTTTTTCTTGACTTGAAGACAATGCCCATATTTTATTTGTTTAAAATCGGCCACAGAAACTGCAGCTTTCCAATTTGGAATGAACTGCAGAAAATACTGACTGACTGGCCTCTTTTATTTAAAATTCCCTGTTGTTTTCCTGCGTTGATCTGTTTTTCTTGTTTGTCAGTGATTTACCCTCTTACTTTTAAGCCCAGACCAACTACCAGAAATCCCATAAGCAAACAGATCTTTACAGAAGATTTAGTTTCAGGGAAAAGTTAGGAGGGTGATAAGTCCCTCATCTCCACTACGGTGTAAATTAGTCTGATTTATGTTGGTTACAGCATTGTCTTGCCACTTCCTTTTTCAAACTGCCAAGGGAGGAGGCTATGGATGAAATATTTGGGTTAATTCCTCTCTCAATGTTAGAAAATGTTAAATGTTTGAAAATTCTTCTTCAGGTATACCAATTTTCATTTTTTGATACACAGCTTTTAACTAAAAACTGAAGTTGCTGTGGAAATCATAACTCAAATATGTTGCCTATTTTCTAGATTTAATTTGATTAACCTTTCTAAATAATATGGTAATAGTAACAGAACTTTTTTGTTTAACAGCTCACAAAATTAGAAGTCCACTGTCAGAAAACTGGGATCGATTTTAATTTTTGCTGTAAAGTGGCATAAGAGTTGCCAAGTCAACCTTTTAGTGCAGGACTCATGATTCGTTCTTTTGATGGCAGTGATTAAACTTTTTTCCATTTTGAATCACTAAAATTCAAAAAGGCCGATTTTAAGGCATGAGATCAATTAGCGCAGTGTGCTACAACGAATTTTTCTGTTGAAATATTTTTTACATTCCATTTTTGGGAAAGAAATTCCACCCAAATATTACATCATTTTTTTCTTTTTTTCATTGTTTTTAATTAAAACATTTATCAGTAGCTTTTCAAACCAATAAGTTTATATTTGAGTTAGGATAAGGAAGGTTAGTATGGGGAGCAAACGTATTTGTAATTTACATTATATAGTCATTAATAGAAAAGGGAGACATTACTTCAGTTCAGAACTTGACAGGTACAAGCAAATATAATTTCTTTTTAAGTGCCCACTGTAAACAGTATTGTTTTAATGCAGGACTGAGGTTAAGATCTAGAGGGAGAGATGATTGCTGGCCTGAATTTCTAAGTCTTAAAAAGCAACCCATGAAACAAAAGTTGTTCTTAGGTTGATGTGGGGAGATGTTACATATTACAAAGCATCCTTTGTAATTTAAATTGAATCGTGTGTTTATTGTTTCAGTTCTGAGGTTCTTGCATCTATAGAAAATATCATTCAAGACATTGTCACAAGCTTGGCAAGGAGAGAGGCACCTGCCTTCATCATAGACAACAGATCAAGCTGGGAAAACATCAAGTGGGCATTCGGCATTTCTATGTTTAAATGCGGTATCTGTGTCCTTATTCCAGTTTCCTTGAGTTCAAAGTCATTGTTTGTGTCACCTTTATTTGCCCCACCACCAAAAATTTAGAAAGTTTGTAAAATGTACTTAAGGAAGATTGTGTGAACTAGTGGGTTTGAAACGTGCAGCAAATCAAAAAAACAGGCTAAGGCTAGTAACAAAAGTGAGCCCTCAAAGAGGTTAGAGTTCAAAGCGCATAAGCTCTTGCCATAAGTAGATAACAGGCCTGGCTCTGAGCCTCCAGCGCTGGGGGTGGCAGTGCCTTGGGTACAATTCTCATCTATACTGCAAAAAAAAAACAGAAAAAGAAAAAGAAAGCCCTGCATGCTGAGGACACCCAGCCCAGAGGGAAAAGCCAGGCTGAAGTAAAGGACCCTGAACGCAGGGCTCACTGGCGAGGCTCCCTGGTGACCACGCCCGCTTCGTTCAACAGTTTTGTCCAAGTTCTCCAGCCTAGTGCCCAGTTATTTTAGCCCCCACGCCCAGCCTGTAAAACCTTCTCTACCAAATAATGAGAAATAGTACGAGAATAGTTCTTAAACTTTCAAAGACAGAATAAAAGGAATTTGGAGACTCCTTAGTCACTAAGGACTATTTTAAAATCAATATAATTAACACAAACTCTGCACTTGTGCACTGTATTTTGCAAGATGGATTTTATCCAAGCACTGGTACCTAGCATCTGTGTCTCACTCCTTCTGCTGCCCCTAGGAGAGGGTCGGTGGTTCACTTTCACAACCTAATACACACTGTTACTTTAGGTAATATTTCTTTGGGGAGAAGTTAGAAATAAAATACTGCCAAACTGAGTCAAAATATTAAATGAAATTATTAAAATGAATGAAATACTAATAAAATCATGAAATACGAAAACATTTCACATGCCCTAAATGTCTTCCCAAGAAGTTGTGCCTAGGACACACTGCATAATCAAAGGCAGATATTTTAGCCGAGGTGTCACCAAGCTAATTATCTAATTACAACCCAAAACAATCAACCTAAGCTTGTAAAGGAGGCCTCCTAAAGGCTTAGTGTTTGTATAAAGGTGAAGTATGGGATTGAATCAGTGGGCAGAAAAGAATATTAAGTGGATATCGTTAGGTGTCCAGAAGTTGTTTTTTATTTTATTCCTTTGTTTTAAATAAAACAACAGGTTCGAGGATACGGTGGGTCTTCAGATGGTACCCCACTGTAGCACAAGAAAAATCAGAAGTGACTCTCCAAAATCAGTGCAAAAATTCGGTAAAATAATCTTTCCTAGCTTTGAGTAATAAAAAGAAATAAATTAGATTTCTTTTTAGTTTTTAGTTGTTGCTAGTTAGCTATTGATCTGTTAGTTAATAGGTCACATGTAAATTAATGAATTTTCTAAAATGTCGCATTGTCAATGGCCATAGAAGCAGATCGTCATTCCTAAGTAAATGTACTTATCGAGGTATATGATTTAATAGATCCTTATTTTCTTTGTTTTGCTGTCAAAAGAGCAATTAATTTTATCTGACTCTTTGGGCAATTATGTTGTTTTAAACCCCTGTTTTGGAAAGATTGTTTAAGTGTTATGGACGGGAACTGGGGACCATTAAAATCCTGATAACAATGTCTTTTGAATTAATGTGAGAAATGGTAACTAAGTCACTCATTGCATCTTATTTTTCAGCTCTAATTCTTAAAATATTATCCATGATTTATAAATTAGTACAGAGCAATACTTACGCGACCAAAAGGTAAGTATATTACTCTGGTAAAGTCCTTACTCTAATGTAATGTGAGATTTTATTAGATTAACTTTCATTGTATGTTTTAAAAAGTCACCAACCGTGGGTACTAAATTACTTTCCTTGTATGTTGTGTTTCACTTAGTTAAACTTTTCTCCAAATAGCATTTCTGATAGTTGTCCTAGTCACAGAAGATAGTTAGATAAAACGTGTGTCTTAAATTTTCGAAGGGACATATATTACACAGATAGCCAACTCTTTGGTAATCAGACTGTGGTGGACAATATTATTGACGACATTTCGTGCATGCTGAAACTACCAAGGAGGAGTCTACACATTGTAAGTTATATTTAATATAAACATCATATTTTAAAACAAAATATGTCTAAGACATTGTAATGATAATAAATGTAATCTTCGCCTATTTGATAGCATTTGACACCAGATTTTTTTCTCATATAAATTTAAATTGTCCTTGCAATATATTCCTTTAAATGAGTGAACTGAATCGACTGAATTATGAAATATTGTTAATTCCTAAATACCCACACATATTTTTTCCTTCATCTCCAAATTCCAATCAGATCAAAAATGCAAATGGCCTAGCGGGTGAGCACGAAGAACGTGTCGGTGGAGCAGGTTTCAAAGATGTCTGTTTCTTTCTCTTTTTTTCCAGTTGTCAACATCCAAAGGGTTAATTGCTGGCAACCTGAGATACGTGGAGGAGGACGGCACCCGGGTGACCTGCGCCTGTGGAGCCTCCGTAAGCGCCTCACGCTGCGCGCGGCCTCTGCCCACCCCTCCGTCCCTTCCTTGTGGACTGTGTTTTACTTCTTGCGTTGATCCGTCATTCAGAGCTTAAGATTTTCAAGGTCCACTGAAGGACGAAACTAGCATGGCATTGGGTGAGGCCACCCAGAGCTAGGAGAGGGGACAGGTGACCCCCAGCCCCGAGCTCAGGACGTTCTCTTTCATCTTTTCATTTTTTCTCTTTCCTTTTCTCTGTGCTGAGGACTGCGCACTAAGATGCACCCCAGTCCTTCCCTGTTTTCTTTTTTGAGACAGGGTTTCCCAGAGCCACAAGCCGCCCAGCCTGGGGTAGCAGTTGTTATCCTCCCGCCTCAGCCTCCCCTAGTGCTGACGTTACAAGCGTGAAACGCCACCCGTGGCCCATTTCTGCTTCTTTTTTCTTTGTTAAATTTTATTTTTTGTTTAGTTTTCTTTTTGAATCGATACTGGGGATCGAACTTACAACTGTGTGCTTGCAAGGCAGGTGCTTATGCCGCTGAGCTAAATCCCCAGCCCTAAATTTTATTTTAAAGAAATTAACATTAAAAACAATTATACAGAATTTCAAAATATGATAATGGGAGATAAACAATAATTAATAGATTGTATATTTTTTTGAATTTTTTAATACTCTGCGAGTCTTTCTCTTCGTAGTAGTTACTCAGAGTGTACAGCAGGAACCGGGGCAGGGGTGTAGCTCAGCTTCAGCGCCAGCCAGGCAGGTGCGAGGCTGTGAGTTCGATTCCCAGAACAAGAAAAAAGACATAAACTGGGGAAAAGACACTTACCAAAGAGAAAGAAAGAGAAACAGATATTACTGAAACATAGAAGTGTCTTGTCTTTTCTTTTTTTTCCATTGGTACTGGGGATCGAACTCACGACTGCCTGCTTGCAGGGCAGGTGCTTATGCCGCTGAGCTAAATCCCCAGCCTCCATTTTTTTTCTTTTTTTAACCACGTCTACAAAGCCTCTAGAAACCCTCCTGCTGGGAGCATGTGGGTCTCGGGGGGCCTGCCCTGACCGAGGGGCGCCTTCTTGCCCACTGTCTGCTCACTGCACAGTAAGTAATGATCACTGGTACAGCCAAAGGAAAATGAAGACATGATTTTCATGAAAAATTACCAAATGAAGTTTATACTTTCTTTGCATTTAAAAATCTAAAATGCCAGGGCTGGGGATTTAGCTCAGCGGCATACGCACCTGCCTTGCAAGGGCATGGTCATGAGTTCGATCCCGGTTACCGATAAAAATAAATAAATTAAATTAAAAAAATAAAAATCTAAAATGCCCCCTTTCTTTCAATTTAGGCTATTGCTGTGCCATCTAATATTCAAGGAATTCGGAGTATCCTTCCAGTGGGAGAAGCCTTTACAATTCTGAAGTGTTCTTTCATTCCACTGACAAATCAAGCATTCGTGGTGTCTAATGAGCAAGTTAGACCACGTCACTGTCAAAATGACCAGGCCGGTCCCGTCTCTGGGCACCTCCAGCAGTTCACCGGGAAGCAGGGGCCGGATGCACGCATGCTTGAGTCTGTGTGGGTGAAGGTGGACCGCAGCGTTCTTTCTGCGCCACCTTTGAATTCCTCCGCAGGGCACCGTAATGCGATGGGTGACAGAACAGCACGTTTCCCTCGGGTTAGCAGCCTTAACACCACAGACCTAATCACAGATGCGAAATTTCTGTTAATTGTAGAAAAAGATGCAACCTTTCAGCGGCTCCTAGATGACAACTTCTGCTACAAAATGTCGCCGTGCATCATGGTGACGGTACAGTGTCTGCCTTTACTTCCTCTCGGGACTGGCGCACACCCCATGGGGTCAGGAAGAGAGCAGTGGGGTCCCTCTGCACCTTGCACAGCACCCAGCAGCACCGCCGAGCAGGGCACTCCGAGGTGTCCTGACTGAGGAGGAGGCGGTGCTGCTGGTCTCTAAGGGCCAGGACATTTCCACCTGCCCAGAGCTCACAGGCCTGCTGCCACCCTGTCACTTCCCACAGGTGCGGTCACACCTGGCTCTGGCCGGTTCCCTCAACAGGGCTGCTCCTCTTTGCCCCTCACACGGGTTTCTGTATAAGGTCGTTTCACTAACGCAGCCAAAAGGAGCTTGCTTCCCCCACCACTTTTGTGTTTGTCTTGTTATTTTAAGACAAGGTGTCTATGTAGTTCAAGCTGGGCTCAAAATTGCGGCAATCCTCCTGCCTCGACCTCCCCAGCACTGAAATTACAAGCATGCACCCCTAGGCCTGCCGAGGCTTTGCTTTTTAAAAACATAGATGTGCAAATAGTGACAAACAGAGACACACGTATCGTGATTCCTATCGTCAAGAGAACTCATGGTAGTGTCTGGCCTTAAGGGTCACCCTGGACCGGGGGCTGCAGCGATTCACATCTGCTGCTCACTGTCCTAGTGGCGGGGCAGGTGATCAAGGGGCCGGCAGACTCGGCCCCTGGTGAGAGCCTGCTTTTGGGTTCACTGGGTGGTCATCTTCTCACTGGGACCTCAGACGGTGAAGAAGACCCACCCGCATCCCTGTCCTGGGAGCCTGCATTGGGGTTAAGCTTCCATGTAAACCTGAGGGACAGCAGCAGCCCTGTGCAGGCAGTGGACTTCACTGAGCCGGAGCCACCAACAGAGTCGGCCGCAGTGGGAAGGGAGGAGGTGGGGACAGAGGGAACTGGGGCACCCGGGGCTCAGATGTCCACTGCGGAGGAGTGACCATGCCCTCATCCTTGGTCAGCCCTTTTCCCGGCCTATCTGCTCTTGCAGATCTGGATAAAAACCTAGCTCTTTGAAGAAGAAAACACAAGGCTCTCCTACTTAAAATTCCTCCGGCTTACCGGATTAGCAGTAAGTATGGTGTGTGTGAGGTCTGTTTATGGAAGTGAGCAGCAGCGGGCGAGCTGGCTGCAACCGCCCCATGGAGGTGGCCTGGGTTAGCGCCTGAAGCGGAGCCGAAGGGAAGGACAAGGCCCTGCGTGGCCACGTGTCCATCACACGGAGCCGGAGAGTCGGCCTGCGGGCGGTCACCTCGGTGTGCGGACAGAAGGGGACATGAGGAAGGAGCTGGCGGCCACTGAGGCGAGGGACGAGTCGGACAGCTGCGCCACCGGGACGTCAGGACAGTGTCACCCGTGTCACAGGACGAGCACCAGGCGCCCCCACGTGCTCCCCACAGGGCTTCCGGTGTGCACCGGTGCGGCAGCAGCAAACCCCAGCGGCCTCTGCCTCGCTGGAAGTGGAGGACCACGGAAATGGGGGACCATGAGTCCAGATGGAAAGCAGGGTCTGTAGGTGCCCCTGGGGCTCCTGGCGCCCGGAGGCAGTGGAGCTGGCCCTTTGGACCCATCTGCTTCCGGCCGCTCTGCAGCTGCATCCGAGCTTGGAGGAGGACCTGAGCGGTGGTGAACAACCCTGCAGCGGCGGGGGAGGCCACACACGCCCGGTTCCTCCGCTCTGCACTGCTGCCCTGTAGTCCCTGCCTGCCTGCCTGCACCCCCAACACCACCAGTCCCCAGCAGCCACCGCTGGCGCTACCACTGTGAAACAGACGCTCCGGAGGAGGGAGCCGGAGCTGCAGGACGGGCCAGGAAGGGGCTGTCTCACCACAGCCTCGCACGCTGTGCTGCTCGGGCTCTCAGGCAGGTTCCCTGCTGCCTCTTCCCCAGGAAAGCCCTGAAATGCGCAGCAGCTCGCCAAGTGCTCACAGTGAGCCGGAGCTTGGCCAAGCGCTGTCTGTAATACAAGTTCACAGTTTTTAAAGTTTGTTCTGTTTTGCTTTGTGTTTTGAGACAAGGTCCCACTGGGTAGCTCAGGCTGGCCTCAGGCCAGGGCAGCCTCCTGCTGGGGGTCCAGGTCTCACCACCTCTACTTTGATCACAGGAACTGCACTGCCTTGTGTGTTTTTGTTGTGGTTTTATTTTTTGGCTGTGCTTGGGGTTGAACCCAGGTCCTCACATTGCTAGCCTAGCGCACCTCCAGGCTACAGTTCCAGTCCCCCAGGATCGTCTTCCCCACGATTCTCTGCCCACTCAAGGCTGGGGCTTGGGCCACATGTTCAGCTCCACGTTCAGCTCCAGGTTACTGTAAAGCCAGACTTACAACTTTAGAGCCACGGCCTAAAAGCACTAAGAAACCTGCCCGCTGTCACAGGCACATTTGTGATAATGACGGACAGAGAGGGAATTCCGACTCAGAGCTCTCAGATCCGAAGCCTGTCTTGGTTTTTCCCCGGCCGCTGGCGGCCACTGTACTGAGGATTGCACCCAGGGCCTCGAGCATGAGCATGCCCGGCAAGCTTTCCACCACCAGACACCGGCCTGTGCCAGAGCCTGTTCTGAACAGCAGCGTTCCTCTGCCTCCTCCCTCTGCTCCATGTTTCATCTAGTTTCTCTTTTCTTTCTTGACACTATTTTAACACTCTTAAAATCACTTTTCTACCTGTTTTAAGAACTCCATGTTATCCCACCACAAAGGGCTTATGGAACTCTAAAGTTAAACTCTTCTAAGTGCTTCATGATTTTTGAATAATGTAATTCCTCTTTCAGCTTTATAAGGAATTACAGAGCCCCAAAACTGAGGAGGTTTCGTAACTTCCTCAAATTCATGCCGTCAAGAAGTACAGAGCCAGCCAGGTGTGGCAGTGCACGCCTGTAATCCTTGCACAAGGAGTCAGAAGCAGGAGGATTGCTGTGAGTTCAAGACCAGCCTGGGCTACAAAGTGAGCTCAAGGCCAGCTTGCACTGCATAGTGAGACCCCGTCTCAAAAGGACAAAAAAAAGTAGAGTTGAGATGACAGCCCAGGCTATTTGGGCTCGCAGCTGGCTTCCTGTCACCAGTGAGCTGTGCCACCTGTCCACGTCCCTGTGCTCAGACATTTCGGCTTTTTGGTTGTTGCTATTAGTTTTCACCATTTTAAATAATGTGTCAGTGATCAATTTTTAGTATGCAAGATTATTTTTATTTTTGTTTCTGCTAAAATATTGCCTTGGGAGCCTCTCATAGGGCTGGAATGATGGGGGGATGTACACGGGCCCCCCCAGTGTGGTGTTCATATCTCACATTTGTTCAGTCAATGCCAGTCTCCCCATTCAAGGTGAGGAACCTCGCTGTTAAGTTGTTAATGACATAAGGGAGTCGTGGTGTCCATCCTGTCCTCCTGGAATTCAAACGCTTCTTCCCGTCCTGCTCTCAGGGGAAAGGCACACCCGACCTGAACACGAGACTGCTGGTCAGGAGGCTGTGGGAGCTGTTTCATGTTCCTGTTCTCACCCTGGTAGACGCTGACCCACACGGTAATCTACCCTGCACCATTTGGGATGCTCATGGATAAACCATGTTTTTAGTTGTGCTTTCTGCTCTTAAAACAACCTCAAAAAATATTTTAAGAGAAAATGATTAGATTAACATTGAAGACTACTTATTTAAGGCAATTTACAGTTATGTCTACCATAGCAAACTGAGATCCATAATTTTCATTATGGATAATGCTTACCGAAATAAAAATCGCAGATATCAGATAAAATTTGAGAGTGAGCCCTGTAATACATGAGACTAATTTTAAAGTTAATTTTCTTTTAATAGGCATAGAGATAATGTGCATCTATAAGTATGGATCCATGGTAAGTGCACAAAAGTAGTTTTCCTTCTCCTACTATTTAGCCTTTGCTATTCACTGGGTGGTTCTGCATGTACTTGGCACCCTCCACTAAGCTAAGGGCCCCCAGATCGCTGAGGCAGTGGGGGCGAACCTGTGGCTCGTGTGCCGCAGCAGGCTGTTTGTATCACTGAAAGCCCGGTAGGTGTGTTTTCCTTTTAAGAGAAAAGATGGTTTTCTCTGAACTAGTATTTGGCTTTAGTTGCAGTGTTGGCCCTCTGCCATAAATCAGTAGGTGCTGGTCGCAGTTTGGGCACTCGGTCGCTGAAAGGTTCGCATCCCTGCGCTAAGGGAACTCGAGTCCCACTCTGTGTGTTGGTGACTGCACGTCCAGTGTCCAGCATGACCACCGCAACCACAGATGACAGAGGAAGATTTGCTGTGGGCCAGAAGCATTGTCACCCTGCGTCCTCAAGCCTGCCGAGGCATGGGGTGATCAGAAAACACAGTGAACCTGCAAAGTTCTAAAAAACGTATCACAGCCAAAGACCCAGTGCCGATAATCCCTCTCAAAACACTTACCCCTCACCCTTGCCACATTCCCAGCAGTTCTGGAAGTCCTGTTTTGTGAGTGTCTTTTGTTACATTTTCTTTTTTTTAGTTGCATTTTGCCTTGATATCCTGAAACAATTCAAAATGTTTACCTTTCATGGTCATTTTGACTTTGAAGAAAAGCTGGAGGTGGAGGATGGAAAGCACTGTAATGTTTTACAAGCCTGCCTTTCCACCTGATGGGATCACCGGTTACTGTATACACACACATACACAAACTTTTAAATCGTGCCTGCCTTTCCCGGGTGGAACTCAGCAGCAGTGCCCACCTCACCCAGACTCTCATGAAAGAGGCTTCCAGGGCTGCTTACGAAAATGCAAGAGTGTGGGATGGGGGTGTTCACAGCGAGGGGAGGATTTGATGACATTAATGGCAGCATATCTGTTGCTGTAACCAATTTTTAAAATGTAGACATTCCTATGTTGTGATCTTGCCTCGCCAATGGGAGGACCTGAAGTGACCGTATGTCAGTGGTTCTCACAGTGTGATCTCGGGCAGCAGTGTCAGCGTCACCTGGACACTGTTAGAACTAAGTTGCATCTCATTTTGATATGTGTGATTGAAAGAACAACTACTATAAAGATAACAAAATATACTGTGATACTTATTACTGTTATCCCAGTAACCTGCTGTGAAGTTCTGTACCAATTTCACTGTATGAAATTAGTTGGCTTTATTCTGTCTTGTTCTGTTGTATACATTCAAAATAAAATTAAAAAAAAAAGAAGAAGAACTAAGTCGCAGTCACCACGAGGAGCTCCTGCCCTGCAGTCTCCAGGTGACTCTGAGGGCTGCTCAGGTTCACAGCAGTGAAGGGGGACACGGAGTAGACGCGGGGCCCCAAACAGTAACGACTGCAGGTCGGAAAGGTTCACCTGAAGTTTTGCTTCTAGAAAATTAATACAAGGGGCTGGGGGTTTAGCTCAGCGGCGTAAGCACCTGCCTTGCAAGCAGGCAGTCGTGAGTTCGATCCCTGGTACCAATAAAAAGGAAAAAGACAAAAAAAAAAAAAAAATTTAAAAAAATTAAAAAAAAAAAAAAAGAAGAAAATTAATACAAAAATACTAAAGAGCAGTTCCACAGCTGTCCCTCTTAACATGCGGAGTTCGCTGTAAAAACGGGAATGCTACGCTGGTTTTCTGCAAGTGAGCCTCACCTGTGTGCCTCTGTGCTTTGTTTCAGTCTATGTCATTTGAAGCCCACAACCTGACGGTCCCAGCTATTAGGTGGCTTGGTCTCCTCCCTTCTGATATTAAAAGGTTAGATGGCATAGAAGGCCCAGGACATTTAAAACCAACCATTACTGTGTGTGACAATGAGCCAGAAAAGTCACACAAAACACTCTTAAATTCTTAAAATGTATATTGTGCACTGTGACTCTGGACTATGCAATTATGAATTAGATTAAGCAGTTTTTTTGCTTTTACTACTAAAATACTTAGCAAATGAGTTTAATTGTACTTGAAAAGGCTTACTAGAGAAACGATTTTTTATTACTATGGCTAAAACATTTTGTAAGTTTTTTATGCTTAAAAATATGTATTATGCTAGGTGTGGTGGCACACACCTGTCATCCCAGCCCTTGGGACGATCGTTGTGAGTTTGAGATCAGCCTGGGCTACAAAGTGAGCTCAAGGCCAGCCTGAACTGCATAGTGATGTTGTCTCAAAAAAGACAAAAAAGAATAAGATAAAATAATAACAAATAAAATATATGACCATTGTACACTACATATATTTAAAAATATGTATTATATGTAGAACTTAATGAAATGATACTGACAGTATGGGTTGCCACATGAATCAGTTTTACCACACATTTAAAATTTTAACCTCACAGTGTGATCTCGGGCAGATAAAGAGTCTCACTTAGGATTACCTAATGTTTGGGACCCTTGTGTGTGGCAAATTCAATGTATATCTTCATAACAGAAAACATCATTACAAGACAACAGCCCACAGTGAGGTGGTTTTGCTTCTGTGCTTCCAGCCTGAGGTCATAACTTTTTCACCAAGATGTGCTCACACTTCACGTTATTTTGTGAGCTGCTTTTTCCATGAACATAATGTGATGGTTTCTCCATGTGAAAATATATTTCTCCTGTGACATCACGTTACTGTCCCTTACTGTCAGGCTTCACTGCTGGGTGTTGTTTAGTTAATCCGTCACAGCTAGACATTTAGGTGGTTTCCAAACCTCTGTTCTGACAGTGTGCTGATGGATCTGCCTGTGACTAACCCTTTTCCTGAACATCTAATAAGTCCCTGAGGTTGAATTCCCAGAAGACTCATGGATCAAAGAGTGTGCATGTTTTTGAGGCTCTGACTGTCCGCTGGTTTCCTGACTTGCTCTCCTGGAGGAATAGGTGACACCTGCCCTGGGCATGGGAGAGTGACACTTTTCTTTTCCATCTCTCCCAGTGTGATATTGTAAAGTGTCTTCATATTGTTTTAATTTGCCAGTGTGGATGTTTGTTGGCTGTCTCTAACCACTGAGCCAGCCTTGGTTACAGGTGCTTAGCTCCTAAAAATGGACTGTGGGTGGTTTTGGATGGTCAGCTTTTTTTTTAAAATGAGAGCATAAGAAGAAACATTTCACTTTTGGTTTTTGAACATTTCCATTCAGTGAATTAAAGCTTTGTTCAATGCAGTATTTATATCATGGTCAAAATTCCTTGCAGGTGATTTATTTGTGTGAAGGTCATTTCTAGCACAAATTGAGGACACATGGCCTGGTAACTCTTAGGCAGAGAATCTGGAGGAGCTCTAGCTGCATCTCTTACTCCCGTGTGTGCCCAGGAGCTACTCCGTGTGTAAACACAAGCAGAGCAGTGTGGCAGTGACACAAACACACTGCAGGAGCAGCGCTCTGGGCCTCCCGCCAGTCAGACTGCCACCCCTGTGCAGGAGTTGCCAGTGGCCAGTGGTCATGACTATGGGGACACGGGAAAATACTCTGTGAAACCGGAGCTCTCTTGGGCTATCTGGGACTTGTGCCTTCAAAAAAGTAGATTACACCGTAAACCCCGGAGCTCTCGTGTTCTATCTTTATAGCACATACCAAGATAAATTCGAGTTTTTCCAATGTAAATCTGGATTGTGTGTGTCTGCATGGGTGTGTGCACGCGTGTGTCTAAGTAGGAAATGATGGACTCATGTCTGTGGCTCAGAATCCTCAACGAATTACAAAGATTTGAGTACGAAGTAAACTTGAAGCCCCTTTGCAAAACCCAGCTTCTGCCCGTGCGTGGTGGAGAGCTCACAGCCCCAAGACCGCAGCCTGGTCTCGGCCATGGCAGATTCGTGCGTGGATCTCTAATGGTTTTCTTATGTTATTCCCGAGTTTCTTCAAACATATGTAAATATAAACGAGATATACGTGTTACAGGAGCACGCTGCTTCTACTGACTTTATTCATCTGTTTCCCAGGTTAAATATACCTAAGGACAGTTTGATTCCACTTACGAAATGGGACCAGATGAAACTTGACAGCATCTTGAAGAGACCTTATGTTACTGGCCAGCCGTTTTGGAGAAAAGAAGTATGTTTCTTTTTAAAATTCAAGTATCCTATAAAGTTTCGTTACCTTGCCCTTTAGTAATGACTGTTCACACAGCATTTAAAAAATATCCTTGAGAGTTTATAGCACCAACAATTAACATCAGTGTGGCTTAGCAGTCAGTAAATGTTGAAATCAAGTCCATGAAAACTAATAGCTGAGATGAGCCAGATGTAGATGGCTGATTTTCACCCTTATCGTGGTTATTTATGCTTTTTCAATGGGCTGCATCATAGCTTCAGGGTAAAAAAAAGGAGAAAAGAACAACAATCCAGGTCTCTGTCTAGTGATTGAACTGATCCAGCTGACCGACAGAGAGACTCCGCCTCTCCTCCCGGGGAGGGGATGCAGCTCAGCTGCAGGACCACCTGCCTGCCCGCACCAGGCCCCGAGTTCGATTCCCTACCAGAAAAGAAGGGCAGTGCCTCCCGGTCCTGTCAGTACAGCTAGTCTAGATGGAAGATGTCGGTGACCCTCGGCGTGACTGTCTGTTTACTATATTGACAGATGGAGCTGATGGCAGACTCCAAAATGAAGGCGGAAATCCAAGCTCTGAACTCCCTGTCCTCAGATTACCTTTCTAGAGTGTACTTACCCAACAAATTAAAATTTGGAGGGTGGATATGAAAGCACAAGACTTACTATGACTCTTCGTTGGCAAATCCTGTTACGGAAAGACTGTAAAGGTCGAACAAAATGATCTTTCACTGCATGTTTTATCAGGACCAATGCTATACCTAATTCTCTAAAAGACTTTATTTCATCCTCCACAGAGATCAGTTGCTACCCCATATTCTAAAATAAATTGTAAAAGAAGATACATTATTTTGACTTTCAAATTGTATTTGAAGACTGCTTTGCATGTCATAAAAGTCTATAAAATATTTTCTTTGTCTTCTATAATATAGCTAATATAATATAGCTAATATAATATAATACAGCTAATACAAGGCATGCAGTATTTCACTAGCACAAACATTGCACACACCTTGTGCCTGGTGGTTTCTTCCTTGTGCCTTTGTAGTGAAGTGGTCACAGTGCAGGAGCCAGGACCCACCTAACTCACCAGTAAAACTAGGGAACGTTGTTGTGAATAAATATTGCACTGTGTACTCTTTGGTGCTTTGCTTTAGTTTGTCCTGAGCCCCTTTATAATGGCGACACTTTCTTGTTAAATGTTTCTCCTCGGTGTTACACATCATCACCCCAATTCCAGCACCTGGATTCTTCCAGTCTAGGACCACAGGACACAGAACTTCTTTGGATTTAAGACCAAGGAAGCCCAGATTTTAATAAGGCCAACTGTAAGCATATGATATCGTGCGTCCTTATAAGCCTATTCTGATTTTTATAAAGGTAAGTTTTTTTATTTTACTGGGTACTTTTAGTAAATCTTTCATGCAATAAAGTTTCTTGTAATTATAAACAACAAAACTCGTTCATGGGACTATGGGATGTGGGGTAGTTTGCAAATATAAATGGTAATAACAATAGATGCTGTTTCTGAAAACCTGCCTGTGCCGGTTGCTGCTTACCAGTGGTCTGGTTTCGTTCTCCCAGGAGCCTTGTGAGTACTCAGCAACTCACAGTAGTTTACAAATGACAACACTGAACTTGTTCCTTGTCCGAAACCACAGTAGCACTAGCAGGCAGGGTTACTTCCGGCTACAGAACATGCAGGTCCTGGCTGGCCATGCTGGCACACTCTTGTAATCCCAGCACTCAGGAGGCTGAGGCAGGAGGATCGCCAAGAGCTGGAGGCCAGCCTGAGCCTCCTAGTGAGACCTTGTCTTAAAAAACAACAGCAAATAAAAAAAAAAAAAAATGCAGGTCCCAGTAAAACCTATAAATGGAGAAAGAGGTTATGCATTTCAAAGGTTAAGAATTTCAAGACTATAGAAATAAGAGTTAAACCAACCAGGGGCCCTTCTTAGGCTGAGGTCCTGTATGGCTACATGGGTTGCACACCGGTGACACTGGCCCTGCCCGAAAGGTTGTGGTAAGGGTTACATTTAAAACTATAATAATAAGAGAAAACATTTAGGTAGCATTCATTTTCTTCGAGGTGTTTTTCTTTTTTTTTTTTTTTTCTTTTTTTGGAACTTGGGATCAAATGACCTTGCACTTACCAGGCAAGCACTTGAACCACCGAGCTAAATCCTGGCCTTTTTCTAGGTGTTTGGCAAACAGTAATTCTCTTCATCCCCCACCCAGCTGAGCTAGGTACTTTTATTATCATTCTCATTTTGCAGGCAAAATACAAACGTATGGAGAGGCTGAGAAACTTCCCCAGGTCATGTGACTAACTTAACCCCGAGCCTCTGTGTCCTGCACGCTGGGCCGGTGCGCACCCTGCCAGGGGAAGGTCTGCATCATATTGCTGGCCAGATGGCAGATGGGGGTCTCCTGGCGTCACAGCTGTGACACTAACAAACGTGTTCTATTCCGTGCAAACGTGGATACCAAACACTTTATTCTGGAAACACTGTGGCGTGCTGTTAATTTGACTCGCTCGTGAGACCATCAAAAATTCTAAAAAAGATTTATACATCAAGAGTTTTTCTTTACATTTCTACCATACGTAATCCCTTACATGTAATAAAGAGGAGATTGCTACGCTAGAAATCTGTTTACCCCAGTGAGCACCTGGGTCAGCGTGTACTGTTGGAAACGGGAGGGAACGACAGATCTATCAGTTAAAATTTGGAAATAGTTTGCAATTAAATCATCTCAAGCTCATGATTGGGAATTTACTTAAAATAATTTCCAGTTGTTTGGGAAATGAATATGGAAAGAGCAACACACAACACAGCTCTGCTTCCTGACTGTCTTTTTTGGATGCAGATTGAAAACATACTGCCGTGAGGTATTTGGGGACCATCGAAAACTTCAATCATAAAATTTATTTCCAAAACAGATTACGACAAAACAGCAATTTAAAATCACAACTGACAACACATATCCTTTCTACTGTCATCTCTTTTATCTATTTTTTTTTTTTTTTTTTTTTTTTTGTACTTACGATCGAACTCATGACCTCACGCTTGCCAGGCAGGTGCTTACAACGCTGAGCTAAATCCCCGGCCCCCTTTTTTAACTCTATTTTTTAAATCTATTTTTAATATTTACATATTTTAATCTGGGAAGAATATTGGGTGGGAATCTGTTTATCATTAAAATGAACAGAAATAGAAAGTAGCACAAGAAGATGTTCAGAGACTCTTGGTTTTCCTTATGGGTTCATAATGACCCTCATAAAATAAAAGCTGCTTGTAATATCCAGCTTTCTGGGAAACTTAACTGACACCCTGGGTGATGCTAAGTGATTTCACAAGGTACCATCTCATGAAAAAAGCCATCGTGCGTTTTGTTTAAAAACAGGCAAAAGCACCCCCAGGTCCCGCGGCTTCCCTCGGAGCCTCTCAGCTGAACTGTTACCTTGATGTAGGTACCGCTTCAACGATGCTGAAAAGAACAGAGGCTCTCAAAACTAGGCCGCGTGCATCACAGCATTTTCGGTGGCTCAGTGGACTCTGCTCTCCAAGGTCAGTCTTCTTCCCAGCGCCCCAAAAATCTCATTAAAAAGCCAAGTCTGCCCTCTGCTGGTAGAAGGTTCTTCTAACTCTTTCCACTATTTGGGGTGGAATTTCATTAAGCTAGATATAGGGAATTCGGTAAAAGACTCTAAAACACAAATGCAAAAGAAAACACTGAAGGTTTTAATCTGGGGCAGAGAACTTCATGAAAAGAGTCTGAGTTTGACGCCCCAATTCTCTGTGAGGTAATGCGTAATGTATATGCTTTGTGGTCGCACTATTCACAAAAATGTAAGCCAACATATTAAAACATTTTAAATAAATTTTCAAAACTAAATAGTACTTCAAATAAGAAGCAATTGATACTAAAATTGTAAACATTTTTATTCACTTAAAATGGAATAAAAACCAGGTGTGGTGGAGCGTGCCTGTAAATCCAGCACTCTTGAGGCTGAGGCGGGAGGATTGCCATGAGTTTGAGGCCAGCCTGGGCTATATAGTGAAATCCTGTCTCAAAAAACAACGAAAAAGGACTATAAACTGGTCAGTCAGAAATATTTATGTGTATAAAAAATAGCAGAAAGTTTACTTTTGTGACTATGTCTACAACTAACTTTCAAATATTTTCTATATTTAAGGGTTTTTTAATATACAGTGTGACTCAGTAATCACACCCAAGACTACACACTTTGTTGACCTCCTTTTATTTTATTTTTCCAGTTTTGTTTTTTTGAGATAGGGTCTCACTATCTAGTGCAGGCTGGGCTAGAACTCACAGCAATCCTCCTGCCTCAGCCTCCTGAGTGCTGGGGTTGCAGGTACGCACCACACCCGGCTGATCTCCCGTATTTCTAGCAAAGGGGGAAGATGACTCTTCCCTCTGTGAGGGCTGAGGCAAGTTGGGGCAGGTGGCTTGAGTTCAGTTCCATCTCCACTCGCTGCCCCATGCCTGGGATGAATTCCAATCTGACCTCATTTGCACCAACTGTGGACATAGCTAGATAAAGAATAGCTAGGGATGAAGGCCCCATGAGAGTGTTTGTGTAAAGTGTGTGTGTTTGAACACTTGGAGCCGGTCAGAAGTGTGAGTTCACTGCTACGATTGCTGCACTGGGTACAGGCAAGCAGCTGTCAGTTCCATCTGTCTAAGCAGGAGGAAGTCCTGACTGCAGCCCAGAATCACCTGGGGAGCGTCTAAAAGACAGGGATCCCCGGGCTCCATCCCAGATCTACCAAATCAGGATCTCTGAGGGTGCGACCCAAGCAACAGGTTTTTAAAAAGTTCCCCATGATTCTAAATGCTGGATCAGGATTCCTGGTACCTAACCGTGGGGGCCTAGCCTGGCCACCTCTGCTGGTGCTTGATTGAAATGTGGGCTCTGAGGTTCACCCAGAACCTATGAATCTGCATTTATAACCAGATCTCACAGACCACAACGCTCTTGGAGGAGGTCAACACGTGCACACCATGCCAAGTAATGGAGTGGACCCAGCATGTGCGACAACTTCCCTGCTCATGGTCCTCCTGATCCAGGGGAATGAAACTCCTGACCCACCATGTCCGCGAGTTCATGTTCTCTAAAATCAAAGAATAAATTTTAGGAACACGGAGGTTAAGAGTAGAATATATTTATTGAAGAGAGACAGAAGGGGTCCCGAGTGGTTTGCCAAGCACTCTTTTCTAGGGGCTTTTATAGAGCAAAATCATGGGGCAAAACGGGTTCAAGGTGGGGGAAGACTGGGAACTCACAAAGAAGATGGGCATAAGGTGGGACAGAACTATGGTTAGGCAATGAGATCAACAGTTCAGCTAAAATTGATTACATTAGGGACAAATGGGGAAGCCAGTCATGTAGAAAGTGGGCATTCTTTAGGAGCAGTGACTCTTCCCTAGGGGGTTGGAATGGGGACTCCAGGCTTCCTCAGGGTGGTAGGGAACTATTTAGGATATCAATCCTCAGGATATAGGTGCATTTGTTTGATCCTTTGTCCTGAGGTCTGGCCCACAGGAAGGGGTGTCTGGTCCATCTGTGTGGTCCCCACCCTGCAGTGGCCAGGTATCTGAGCTTATGCACTGGCTCTTTGGAGGGCATAATCCTGTCTTACTGCCTATAATATTTCTAATTAACTCAGCTACCTGCAACACTCCCCGCCCTGTCCCCCTCTTCAGCACCAATTTGGTGGCAGCCTGTGTTTGAGTCATTATAACAGACCCTTGTTACATTAAAAATTGATTTGCACTGAACTCTTGCACTGGGCCCCAACAGACCAAAATTTTTTTAAAAAAAGAGTCAACTCATACCAAGTTTCCATGTCACCAAACTGAAACAGTTAACTGAACTTTCAAAACATCAAGCATATAAAAATAACAGTCAAATTTCCTAAATAGGCCAGTTTCAAATGGCATGATAATAAAGTCCCCTCTACTGTAATCCTTACCAAAAACAAAACAAAAACTTGATGTAATCTGATACTAACCAACCAATTTTCTCTCTCCTTTCTGTGACAATCTCTCCCACTTTACAAGGAAAGGAACCAATCCACTTTTTATTCAATCCCGGGATTCAGTATGTCTCTCAAACCACCTTGTTGTATTCGGTTCATTAAAACACTCATTCTAGAATCCCCAGCTAAACTGGTTGTAATTTTGTCCTTTTTGCTTTAACATTTCTAAATAATGATTTTTTTCTTTTAAAAATAAAACCAAACAAAGCACAACAGAATAAAGCCAATCAAAACAAAATAATGATTGCAAAACAAGGTAATAGGAAATCAACAATGGCTACAATAATACTTCTTGTTCTCTTCGCATTTTCTGTTTATACCATAATTTTGTCTCTTGACACCTTTCCTATTTCTGTGAACGACATACGGTATGTAGTAAGAGCCCTTCGTATGTTACTTCGCCTAATCCTAGTGAGGACCAGCCTGGCAAGTCAGATGTCCTTACCCTTCCCTCACCCCTGTCACGCTGCAGGAAACTTGAGGGACCCAGGAGACCCCCACCTGAGGCTCGGGGCGCCTCAATCGGCACAAAGCCAGTTTTCCCGAATTGCCAGTAATAAGACTTTTGTAAGACGTTTAAAAACGTCAAATACGTCAACCGTTTCAAAGAAAATCGCTACTTTCCGCTAGCCTGAGTTGAGAATCTGTAAAAGCAGCTGCTTAACAATCTGCCTCAACTTTCCATCGATTCGCAAACTGCTGGCACAAGAACTTCCTTTTGACAACAATGTCTCCTTTGCGCATGCGTTGTCGTCAGGCTGAAGGCGGAGCTTTTTGTTAACGCCTTCCGGGAGATGCCGGAAGTGATTTGAAGGCGCATGCGCCGTGTTTCCTCGGTAATTGGGCCGTTTCTGTTCTGTTTGAGATTTCCCCAGGCGCCCCGGGCGCCCCAGGTGACTCCATCACTGCCTCACCGTGTTCTCTTCCGCGCCTGAGCAAGTGTGCGGAGTTCGCCTTCCTTCCCGCTAGCCGCGTCCGCCTTCCCGCCGCGGCCGACCGTCAGGTAGGCCCGCGCCCCGTACCCTCCTCGCTGCCGGCGTGGTGCCGCCGGTGGCCAGAGCCCCCCGCATCGATTTCCTCCCTGTGAGGCTCCGGGGAGCCAGCGGGCCTGCCGGCCGGGCTTGCTGTAAGGACAGCTGGAAGTCAGGTCAGAGTGGAAGGAAGCCGGCGGGTTACTGTGAGATCGTCTTGTCGTTTTTCTTGTGGGTAAACTGAGGCTCGGGAAGGGGTATACTGAGCTAAAGTCAGCGTTTGTTGCCTCTGCCCGTCCTCGTGCAGTCGGGCTTCCCAGACACATGTCATCTCCGGGGAGAGGTCTCTCCTGTCCGGCCTTCTGCTGAAAGGTATTAGCCGTTAGCCGTTCCCTTCTAGAAATACCAGTTTAAAAAAAAAAAAAAAAACAGTGTATTCGTCCCCCCTCGCCAGTTCTTTCTTGTGCACGCGCGTGTGCACACACTCCCCCTCCCCCGGGTTTAGTGGGCGGTTACCGGCCCCGCGTGCGCGAGGGGAGCCGAGAGGAGCTTGGGTTTTTTCTTTTTTTAGACAGGGTCTTGCTGTGTAGTTCAGGCCGGCTTTGAACTCGACCCACTCCCGCATTGGCCTCCCTAGATAGAACTGGGATTACAGGTTTGCGCTTGCTCGCCTGGCAGCGTTTGTGACTAGGAAATTACCACGAAGAATAGGGAGGATCGGGATGATGGAAGATTAGATACGTTAGGGAAGCCTCCAGAGTGAGTTTTTAAAAATTCAAGCCTGACAATTTGTTTTCTTTATTTTAATGGAGTCAGGGTCTCGCTATGCAGTTCAGGCTGGCCTTGAGCTCACTTTGTAGCCCAAGCTGGTCTCGAAATTGCAGCGATCCTCCTGCCTCAGCCTCCCAAGTGCTGGGATTACAGGCATGAGCTGCCACACCCGGCTTTTGTCTGACAGCTTTATCAAAGTATAATTTACTTAACGTCAAATTCACCCAGTTAAGTGCCTGTTTTGATGAGTTTGGGAAATTGTGTACAGTTGTCTAATGTCACTGCAGTTCAGCGTTAGAACTCTTCCACCACCCCAGTCAGAGAAGGCACCTTTTGAAGTGGGATCTGAAGGTGGGGAGGGGTTGTCTGGAGCCCAAGCGCCCAGGGGAGGTGTGCTGGAGCGCAGGAGGGAGGGAGAGAAGGGGAAGGTGCTGGGAGCTCCTCACTGGCTAGTGCTTCACTCGCCTCTGTCCGGGTCAGCACGTTCATCTCTAATGGCAACGTGAAGGTTGCCATGTTGGGGTGGAACACAAATGATCACAACCCTATTGTGAGCCAGGCTTATAGTGTACACTTTAATCTCGGTGCTCGGGAGGCTGAGACAGGAGGATTGCTCAGTCTGGAAATTAAGTGATAGAGCGCTTACTGAGCCCGTGCGAGGTCTTAGGTTTAATCCTTCATACTGAAAAAAAATTGACTGTGTCTCAGCACTCTGTGCAAAACCTTCACTTAGTTCTCGAAACTGTGGAGGCCGAGTTAGTGCCCATTTTCTAGGTGAGAGGTCAAAGCTAAGGAGCACGTCGGGGCGGCGTGGTAGTTGGCCTCTTGTGGCCGAATCTCGGCTGCTCTTGCTTGTTCATGCAGCCAGTTGGTGTTTTGAGCACCTGCGTAGGTTGGAGGGCAGCGGTGTGGGTAGCCAGCAGCGCATACTCTCACTTGACAGCTTGGAGGTGGTAGTGTGCTCAGAGCTCCTGCTCACAGGGGTTTTCATGAGACTGAGGACACTCGCCTGCTGCCTTGGCTCCGCCCTCTGCGTATCACTCATCAGGCTGCTGGGGAGACTGATGGGGAGACTCCAGGGAAGGGATCTGCTAAGGGTAACCCAACGTCAGCGTATGCGAGTCTGGAGCCAACTGCACGTTCTCCTCGGCAGGGAAAAGGGAAGCAGTTGATTGTGCCCTGTGTCCTGGACAGAGCACACTCTCCACGTGATCCCCCGGTTCTCCCAGCAGTCTTGACACAGGTGCGGGGTTTGTTTTTAGAGCAGGAAGAGGCGGCCTGGTGGGAGTGGGGCTCCAGCTCCGATAGTGGCAGAGGTCCCTGCAGGTCTCAGTGACCTGGGGCACTGTGATACCAAGAAAAAGTCCGGTAGGGATTGTTACCAAGTCAGTGTCCAGAGCCTACTGCCAGGCCTTTTGGCACTCAGCAGGCCAGAGTGGATTCCTTTCTTAAAACGCCTCCTCAAATGAATTGTGAGTTTCTGAGCTGGGGGGGTAGCTCAGTGGCACAGCACCTGCCCTGCAAGCACAAGGTTGTGCATACCATCCCTGGTGCACAAAAAGAAATTGTGAATTTCTTTTGGAACTGGTGGCTTTTCTAGCTAATTGCGTGCAGAGCCCAGAGTGCCAGAATGAGAACATGAACCTCGACATGAGGCCCCTTTTTACTTCGTATTTCTGGGTGTAGCTGAATGCCTCTCACTGTGTGAAGAATGCCTACATTTATTTCCTGGCGGATGACTAAAATAATCCTCAGCCGTAATGTGTACGTATTGGCTTGTTAGTGGTGACAAATGCATCATACTAACATATGAGTAGGGGAACTGAACATGGAGTGTGTGGCAGTTCGCCTGACTTTCCAATTTTCTGTAAGTGTAAAACTGTTGTGAAATAGAAAGTTGCTTACTATAAATTTAGATGTGAAGGGAGAACCCTGGTGTGTTGCTCTTCTGGAACTTAGTATTTTTATATTTCATCTCACGGATGTTGGTTGCTTGAGAAAGGAGCTCTCCTTAACATTTCCCACTGTGTTTTTAGAGCCAGAATGAGTCTGTTTGGGACAACCTCAGGTTTCGGAACTGGCGGGACCAGCATGTTTGGCAGCACGACCACAGACAATCACAACCCTATGAAGGTACCACGCCAAGCTGCCGGGGTCTGTAGAACGTGTTCGGCCCCAGCTTCCTATGCTCCAGTGGGAAGACAAGAGATGGCTCGGGGGCCAGCATCAGGTTGGACAGTCTGAAATGTTGTCCAGCCATACTCTCTCAAGGCTGAGAGCTGAGGGGTGCCCATCTCCTGGACACATACCCCTCCGCCTGCCTGGCCAGGTCTGCAGAATCCCTGAACAAGCTCCCGAGAGCTCCCCCCAGCCCTGCAGAATCAGGGAGGGAGAATGAGGGCAGGGGTCACTAAGACCAGGCACCGAAGGCGGCAGTGAACCGGCGGGCAGCAAAGTGGCCCTGAGCCTTCGCGTAGTCTGCCTCTTGTCCTGACAGTGCTAGTTCTTTGCCTGAGTTACCACCCCTCTGTTTGCTCTAAGTGAGGAAAAGTGTGATTGAGTTTTTGGGACCAGGAAAGTCCATCGTGGGACCTTTGGTGAGAAGGAAAGGCAGGTTTGGCAGTGTAGCGATGTGACAGTTTAACACTGCTTTCCCTCCCCAGGACATCGAAGTCACGTCGTCTCCCGATGACAGCATCGGGTGTCTGTCCTTCAGCCCGCCAACCTTGCCGGGAAACTTTCTCATCGCCGGATCGTGGGCTAACGATGTAAGTGCTTCCCAAGGCCGCTCCGGTGAGTCACAGGCCGCCTTCCCTTAGCTCCATTCTCTCGAGTGAATGAATCCGAGCTCAGGCTGGTGCACAGCCTTTTCCAAGAAACCAGTTGAGAGGCTACAAGCCCTTCCAAGTGGACATGGTCCAGTCATATGCGCTGCCCAGAAAGACCCAAGCTAGACCAGTACCGTCTCGAGTGTTCCCGAGCCTGACTGGTCTTCTTTGAAAAGGAGTGTTACCCAGGAGAGTGTGCACAGATTTCCGTTCTGCAGGACTGTTCAACTTCTTTGACTTAGACAATCACACAAACCCTGTGTGAGCAGTGTAATTTGTCATTCTGCAGATGTGGAAGACTCGGGGTTAGTGTATGACAGCTGGCCGGAAAGTTAGTCCAGGAGGGGAGAAGGTGCTTCGTAAAGGAAAGTAGAACCATCCAGCTCCCTGCAGAGTCCGAGAGAGACAGCTTTATGTGATAGACTTTTTTGAATCCAGTTAGCAGAGGTTTTAGAAGCTTAGCCCGCACATGTGTTGGTGGTAAGCATGAGAATTGGAGCATTTTCTGCAGCTGTTAGCAGCATCTGCCAGACACCCTCGAGTTTAGCCCTTTGTCCTGTAGACTCCTGGGAAGCGGAGGTGCGCTGGCTGCCTGGCGTGTGTTACCTGGTTCAGCCTTTGCAGTGCTGAGCACCTTCCTGCCGCTTCCGCGTCCCCGGTCCGGCTGCTGAGGCTTGGGGAGGTGAGGGCCAGCGCAGGGAGTGTCCGCAGGCACGGCCGGGCTGCGGATCTGCGCTGTCACGGCCTGGCATCGCAGGTGACTTTCTGCACATGAAAACACGAAGGTCGCAGTGGTCATTCTTGCTAGCACCACTGTGAACGCTTTCAGAGACCAGAGATACTTTCCAGCTGGCCTGCAGGCGGGAGGGAGGGCAGGGAGGAGAGAAGCCGGCTGGGCAGCTGGGCTTCCTGTGTAGTTTCTGGAAGGTTTTTATCTGAGCTGCTACCGAGTGTTAGAAAGATGTTTAAAGATCAATCGGACAGTAGGACAAGGGAGACCAGCTGTAGTCCTAGAGTGAAGATGCTGTGTGATCTCTTTTTCCAAGAAAATATGAGCAAAAGCACAGGGAACTGTCAACCGTGATGTCTGACAGACATTTGGTTTGGTTTTGTTGTCTTTAAAGAATCACTTGAGTAAAATGCATTCTTTAGAGGTGGGGAGGTGATAAAAATAACCAAACAGATACAGCACTTGGGGAGAAGGTCTTGGCTGTTTGAAGAGTGAGGTGCAGCGGGGCTGCCAGCGCCAGGCGTGTAAGCTCCCAGTTCACTCGCCTCGCACGGGATCCCTCACTCCCTCGCCCGTCTCGTCCCCACAGGTTCGCTGCTGGGAGGTGCAGGACAACGGGCAGACCATTCCCAAAGCCCAGCAAATGCACACCGGGCCCGTCCTCGACGTCTGCTGGAGTGATGTACGCCTCCTCTATTTCTCGTTTCTCTCCCACCATGAAGTGCTGTGTCACTGCTGTCTCAGTACTCAGTAACGTGAATGCATGTGCAGGTCAAGTGCCTCTGTACCTGAAATGCTTAGGCCAGATGTGTATCAGATTTCGAAGTTTCCAGAGGTGGGAATGTCTTGCATAGACTTTACTGTTGGAGTGTATCTAACTGGTTAGGTGGTAGATGGCACTGAAAAAATTTGGGATATTGCTGGGCATGGTGGCACATGCCTGTAATCCTAGCACTCAGGAGGCTGAGGCAGGAGGATTGCTGTGAGTTCAGGGCCAGCCTAGGCTCCATAGTGACTTCAGGGCCATCCTGAACCATGTATCAGCCCTGTCTCAAGAAACCCGAGAAGGAAAAAAAGTTTGGAATATTTTAGTTTTTCTGGATTAAGGATATTTGACCTGTGTAGTATGTATATATCCACATTGTAAATTCTAAATTTCTTAGAGCACAGTAGTTTATTGATGATTTTAACTTTCGTAAGATAATCTCGAAAGCATTTCTTGTGTTAAAAAACTCATTTTAAGCAAAGGATTACATACCTTCTTGAAGCCCCTATCTTTATGCCATGAACTTTGTTGTTTTTTATTTAAATTTATAATTTTTATTTGCAGTATTGGAGGTGGAAACCCAGGATGCTGTCACTGAACTGGGTCCCAACACTGTACTTTTTGTTTTGAGTCAGGGTCTCATTAAGAAGCCCAGGCAGGGCTCAAACTTGGGGGCCGTTCTGTCTCCGCCCCTCATACCCTGGGACTGCAGCGCCACCACTCAGGCGGGGCTCTGTTTCAAACTTAGACATTTATTACCAGAAACCCAAGAGGAGAAACAAACTCACACGTTTCTTTTGCCTTTTGCCTTGTATCTTAGTACCTGAGTGCTTTCAAACGTGTCTCTTGGTTCTTGACTTTGAGGAGAAGACTGCCCTCGTCCTGTCGCTTGTTCCCTGAAGTACAGGGCGGAACAAGTTGTGTCCCTCGCTGCTCTTTCAGCCAAGACACTTTGTTGGTGCTTGTCATTTTTGGTATTGATTGCATCTCCCAGAACCGATGAAGTGGCAGGTGCCACGATATCAGGACTGGTTTTTCACTGTGTGATCCCCCCCCAATCCTGAACATGACAGCTTTTCCTCCTCCTGGTCTGTTTTCCTGTGCTTTGTCCCCCTGGCTGGGGAGAGTTGGGTGAGAGCGTGCCTGTTGGCAGAGCGGCCAGCAGGGAGTGGGGCAGGCCCTGCAGCCCCAGAGCAGCCCGCCCGGCCGCCCTCGGCGCTGCTGCCCTGGGGCTGTACCCAGCTGGGGGAGGGTGAGCCTGATGCCCGCCTCGGGCGCCGCCCTTGGGCCTTTATGCAGTCCCGTGTCATTAGGCTGTTTTAGTTAGACTGTATCTGTGCACTGTTTGTTAGGCGTACAGTCAGGCTGAGCTGTTTTAGTGTGTAAGTCTGTGTTTGAGTGCAGAGCAGGGGCACCCGCCCCTGGAAACCTCCCGTCTGTTTCCGGCCCTGACTTTCGCGTTACAGACAGTGGCAAAGGTGGGCTCTTCCGCAGGACCGCGCTGGCGAAAGGCTCTCCTTTCCCTCCCCTCCGCACAGCGCGGAGCCGGCGGATCAGTGTGGGTGGCAGTCACACACCCCCATCCCCCCGGTCCTTGTGGCTCCCGAGACAGCTGGCACCGTTTGCTCAGCCTCCGGTCGGCCGAGTCACTGTGTGGCCCGGGCTGTGCACTGTCCCCCAGTGCTGGTTAGCAGAGGGAGGAGCCCACAGCAGCTCTGTTCTGAGGGGGAGACCTCAGCTTCACATTTAGGGGGCAGGGCTGAGCTGCTGAGCTCTGAAGCCAGAATTAAAATAAGTGAGCCAGGCTGAGTCAGCTGCAGCCGTGGGGTGAATCGGGCCCAAGGCCTGGCCCTCTCCTAAGGAGAGCTCGGTTGGAGTGGCGCCATGCAACCACGGTGTGCCGGCCCCGTGGGTTCTATGCAGGACTGTTTAAAGCTATTGCACAGTGATGGCTTCTCTTTAAAGCCGCACAGGCTTAGATAGGACCTGTAATTAGGGAAGGCTTACATTTTATCAGAAAAACAGAAAAGTTTTAAAAGTGGCCCACAGTTGCTTTTGGGGAAAAACTGGAATCAGGGATGAGAGAGAGACTACACTTCATTATGACTTGAAATGAGAATTCATTTTTTTAATCTTGCACATGCTGTCTCTTAATAAGATATATGCCCCGAAATGTTTGTTTATGACTATGGTTTGTGGTATATTGGCCTCTACCTCGCTGGATTAATAAAAATCGCAGAACACATAGTGCAGAGTAACATGTGAGTGCCGGGGGGGGGGGGGGAGATGAGTTTCCTCACAGTGCCAAATTTTCTCTTACTTTAGGATGGAAGCAAAGTATTTACAGCATCGTGTGACAAAACCGCCAAAATGTGGGACCTCAACAGTAACCAAGCAATACAGATTGCCCAGGTGACCGAGCCCTCTGCAGCGCGGCCTGCGGGATCGGCCTCGGGGTGGTCCCTGACTGATGACTCCTGCCTTGACGGTGTGCAGCTCCCTAGGTCCCGTCACTCACATGTGCGGGAGACCTCGAGTGCAGGCGCTGCTCCAGCCTCATAGCAACTCGAGTTTCATGGCGGCTCTCAGAGCCAGGGCTTAAGGCTTTCACGGGTGTGTGCGCGGCATGGGCAGGCGGCACGGCTTGCCCTTGCCGTGGACACGTGTGAGTCCCAGCGCTGTGTGTGGCCTCCCTCTCCCTGGCCGGACTTGCTTGCACATCGTTCAGCCTGCATCTGCTGAACGCCTGCCCCGTGCAATGCACTGCGGCCGGGGACCGCACACAGCAGGAAGGGGCGCTTCCTACGCCACGAGCTGTCACTCACACGGCTGGTACCAGGAGCAGTGGGCACGGAGGACCCTGCAACTGGGCGCCTGGTATTTGGGGGAGCCTCTTGACAGACATTTCCAAACAGTGTCCCGTGCTCTGAGTCGCGGCACTGTGCTTGTGTGGCTGTCGCTCGTGGCATGTGCTGGTACCAGGTGGCGCAGCCCTCCCCTTTCTGGGAGGAGCTCCCAGGAGGCTCGCTGGCCTGCGAGTGAGCCCAAGTTAGAGCCGGCTGGAGTGGAACGAGCGGGGTGCTTCTTCCTGGTGGGTGCTTTTGCTCATGGGGAGCAGTGGAACAGCTTGGGTGTTTGTTTGCTGGGGTCTCAGGATTCTCCACTGTTTAAATTCTAGAACACAGGCTCTCGCACCCTGCCACACTGACGTGTCTTTTTGTTTTGTGGGAAGCATGACGCGCCTGTGAAAACCATACACTGGATCAAAGCCCCGAACTACAGCTGTGTGATGACCGGCAGCTGGGATAAGACGTTGAAGGTACTCGGTGGGCCTGGTGCGCCCGCCTCGGGGGACGTTTAGTCTCACCGCGTATGGACTGCGGCCCTGAACGCCTTTCTCTGCTTCTCCCCGTGCTTTCAGTTTTGGGATACCCGGTCGTCAAATCCTATGATGGTCTTGCAGCTCCCCGAGAGGTGTTACTGTGCTGACGTGGTAAGGAATGTCATTTTAAAACCCGGAATAAACATTGTTCACGTACGGCACTCTCCAGAGGGTGGGTAGCCCTAACCCTCTGCAGTGTGAGTACGGGGTCACTGTCCCTGGCTTCCTAGAGGACCCAGGACTGCCTCTGTCCAGAACTGCTGACTGCCGGCGTCTCGGGTCACCGTACCCAGCCAGCTCCAGGCCATCCCTGGTGTGGCGTTCACCGGCTGGTGGGGAAGCCCGTGTAACTCTGTGCTGTGGTTCCTGTCGTTGCATGGTCTCTAACCAGGTGGAAACGAAGGGGCTCTCTCCGTCTGTTCAGTCGCAGTCTGAGGGTTTATGTCAGCTGGCCCAGTAGCTCCTCTGGGTTGAGTTCACCCCCGAGAATGCTGGTGCAGGTGGCCGTGCTTGGTGTAACACAGTGACCTAGCAGAGCCACCTAACAGCGACAGGCCCCAGGCAGTGGGCTCAGAGGGAACGCTAGGCTCCCGCTCTGGTGCCCTCGGAGAAGTGCCCAGTTGGGCATGAGCTGTACGGAGCTGTTTGTGCGCAGGGGCCAGAAAAAGGCGAGAGTACAGTGTACCACCGTGCTGCTCACTGTCACCTGTAGTTGACTGTATTCTTGAACCATCATGTTAGTAGTCATTGTTATGTGTGGGTGACTTTATTCTCAGTTCCTTAGGATATTTTGTAAATATTCACACATTTTATAGTTTTTTAAAAAGATGAGTTTGAGTGTCCTACTTGCAATTTTTTTTAGGTTTTCACGAAATATGTTGCTGTCATCGGTTGTTAAACTGTGAGAATTTTATGACTTAAAAATTGACCTACTTAAAAAAAAAAAAACTGAACTACTAGTTGGGTATAAAAAGAGCCCACTCCGTTCGTGTCAAGTGCGCCTCTTTTCCTCCACCCCTAGATATATCCGATGGCCGTAGTGGCGACAGCGGAGAGGGGCCTGATCGTCTACCAGCTGGAGAACCAGCCGTCCGAGTTCAGGAGGATAGAGTCTCCGCTGAAGCACCAGGTGAGCCGGAGCCCCCAAGATGCAGGCTGGCAGCTGTGGGGTGCGCAGTGGCGTCACACATGGTGCAGTTGGGCCCACTTTGAAAAGGCGGGATTGTCAGAGCAGGAGGTTTCAGGAGCCAAACACAGTGTTCAGTGCGTAGATGCTGCCCTGTGTGCATGACCCCATTCCTGCCCTTGCCAGACAGCCCGGTGGCCAGGTGCTACTGGGAAAGACGCATCTGGGTGGACTGGTTCCGGTGTGAATGTGTCATGTCCAGCTGTCCTTCTGCCTGGTTGTGTGAATGTGGCTGCGAGGTTTCTCTCTGCCCTGCAGTCTCCCACTTGCCCCAGAACTGCTGGCCTTTCCTGCTGCTTGGCCTTGGTCTCAGCGGGCCGGGTGGGCTTCGGCTCAGAATGAAGCTGACAGTCAGCCCCCTTGGTCTTCTGGCCCATCATTTTCCTGTGCGGGACCCCCTGGCCTCCTGCAGCCTCAGCCCAGAGCCGCAGGCACAGCAGGACTCCGTGCCAACCTGATTGTCTTCGCTTTGTTGCCCGTGCTTTTGCTGTTGTGCCCAAGAAATGGTTCCCCAGATCACTTTTGAGAAGTGTCAGCCTATAAGCTAGGAAGTCCTGGGTTAATGTTCGGGGCAGGGACAGAAAGGAACAGACCCCAGGTGTTTTCCAGATGGGCATGAGGGAGCCCAGTGGGGTAAGGAAGAAGAAAAACATGGGTGAGGTGAATCGCCGGTGACTCCTCGGTCTCCAGTTCAGACACCCAAATAAATAGGCGCCCCATTTCCTGACTTGGGGAACTGTGAGGAGGGGCGGGCTGCGGCGGGGGAGGACCCTGGGGAAAGGACGCAGTGTTGGAGGGGTGTGGGACCCTCTGGCTCTACAGGAAGCTGAGCAGAGACCCCCAGAAACATTAAAGACAAGAGTGCCAGATCCGCAGCCCTCTTCTGGTGTCTGTCGCTGTTGTGTTGGGTTTTGGTTTGGGGGTTTTTTGCGACAAGGTCTCATCTCACTGTATAGTTCAGGCTGGTCTTGAACTCTCAGCCTCCCGAGTGCTGGGATCCCAGGCGTGCACCACCACACCTGCCAGGCATTGATCTGAAATGTTGGATCCATGTTTTTTGTGCGTGTCTGTGAGGTACAGCGTGGTACATAGTAATCCGTGGGCATACGGTAAATGGTCAGATGGGCACACTCGGCGTCCCCACAACAGAAACCCGGGCTCCTCCTTGGCATCGAGGCAGCTGTGGCCCCTCCTCAGTGCCTGCCGAGTTTCCTCCGTGGGGCTGGTATCTGAGCGTCCCTTACTGAAGCACGCCATCAGCGCTCCCTCCTGCCATCCGAGCGTGTCTCAGTCCCTGGAAACTGATCTATCCCCTCGGTCTCCTGCCCTCCTCAGGCTCTGGTAACCACTGTTCCAAACGCTGTTTTTAGGAGAACAGCTTTTTAGATCCCACATAGGAGTGAGGCCACGTGGCACTTGTCTTTCTGTGCCGAGTTTGTTTCCCTAACATAATGTCCTTCAGTTCTCTCCGTATTGTGGAAAGTGACAGGATTTCATCTTTTTTTGTCTTTTCTGAGATAGGGTCTCTCTATGCAGTTCTGAACTCACTTTGTAGCCCGAGCAGGTCTCAAACTCGAAGCAGTCCTCCTGCCTCAGGCTCCTGAGTGCTGAGATTAAAGTGTGGGCCCGCACGCCAGCTGGGTCACCTTTCCGTGCCTGTCCGCTATCCCAGGGTACACGGGTATATTCACAGCACGTTTCCTTATTCATTCTCCAGCTGATGCCCCGTGGTTGAGCGGCTCTGCAGGGATCAGGAGTGCAGTTAAATCTTGGCTTGCTGGTTTAATTTCTTTTGGAAAGTGAGTCCACATTTGGAAGAGAGAAATGGGTTCCTTTGTTAATGGCAGTGTCCTTCCCTGAAATCAGTGTGATTGAGTGAAACGCATACATACATACTATTCAGCCTTAAAAAGGCGGAAAACACTGCTGTTTCCAGCACGGTGGGTGAGCGTGGTGAAGTGAGCCGGTCACAGGTGGGAAGCTGTCCCATTGCTGCGTGGTGTGGGCAGCGCGCACATGCCCTGCAGTGGAGGTTGGGGCGCTGGCCTTGCTCCCTGTGGTGCCCTGTCCACTGCATTACCCAAGCTGCCGGCGCAGCCGGATGCCGCTTCCCTGCTGAGCAGTACAGATGCAGATGTGGGGGACCTCAGGGGACTCCGGGACCCCACACTCCGCTGGTGCAGCTGGAGGGACGGGTGCAGGGCTGTGTGGGTCACTACAGAGTCACGGGCCGCCGAGGAATTGCGAAGTGACCCTTATACCCTCATCCTGTGCGCTTGATGTCCAGGTTTTTCTGAACACTGGGACCGCCTCCGTCGGCGTCCTGTATCTGCACTGTGTCATACCCTTCTCTCTCTCCCTGCAGCACCGGTGTGTGGCTATTTTTAAAGACAAACAGAACAAGCCGACTGGCTTTGCCCTGGGCAGTATCGAGGGGAGAGTCGCGATCCACTACATCAACCCCCCAAACCCGTAAGTGGGACCCGGCCTACCGGGATTTTTAGCAGAGACTTATTTTTAAAAAGAAAAACTTAGACGGACCTTTCTTTTTCAGCGCCAAAGATAACTTCACCTTTAAATGCCATCGATCCAATGGGACCAATACCTCCGCTCCCCAGGACATCTACGCGGTGCGTTCTGGGCACCTGGCCGCCCCCAAAAGTGCACCCGGGATGGGAGAGGACACGGGCGTGCGGGGCCAGGGTTGGTGGTCTTCTGCCCGGCCCAGCGCAGGGTCTGGCTCTGCCGCCTCGGCTTTGGGATGAGCCCTGAGACTCTCGGGAGCTGGTCCACCTTCTTAGAGTGCGGGAGACAGTGTCCCTGCCCATCGGAGCAGAAGGAAGCTCCGAGGCTCCCCCATGTGCACCCCAGAGTTGGGGTGTGCTCCCCAGAGGAGGGCGGGATGGACTCCCTGGGAAGCGCTGGCAGCTGTCCCCGCCTGTCCCCACCTACCGCACCACACGCCTGCCTCACGCCTGCAGGTGAACGGAATCTCCTTCCACCCCGTTCACGGCACGCTGGCCACCGTGGGCTCTGACGGCCGGTTCAGCTTCTGGGACAAAGATGCGCGCACGAAGCTCAAAACCTCGGAGCAGCTGGACCAGCCGATTTCTGCATGCTGCTTCAACCACAACGGCAACATATTCGCCTACGCCTCCAGCTACGACTGGTCCAAGGTGAGAGGCCCGGGCCAGCGCCCTGGGCTTGCTCTGATGCTTCCCTGGACTTGCTGCCAATAAGGGACAGCAGCCCCCACGGTGCTGTGGGGGCTCAGGGCAGGCTGACCAGCTGTGCCCTTGCACAACGGAGCCTGGCAAGCTGGAGGGCAAAGGCCAGATCTCGGGCCATCGGAGGCGCCAGGGTGGGAGATGAGAGGTCCAGGCAGGAGGAGTTGGGGTCCAGCCGGGTTGGCTGCAGTTCGAGGCTCACGTGTGGCCGCCCCACCGCTCTCCCAGGCCTTCCCCTCTGCCCAGCCCTCTCCTCCTCACCCACCCCGTCTGCTCTTCCTGCTGCCCACTTCCACTCACCGTGGGCTCAGGAGACTGACCACCGTGGCCCTCTGTTGCCCTCCTGTGGAGCTGCTGCTCCTGCAGGGTGAGCCATCCAGGGTCCTGCCCCTGTGCCCAGGCCCCGCTCAGCATCCCTCCCGGGACGGCATTTGACCCTGTCCTTTATTCTGCCGGGTGTGCTGTGCTTCAGGCCCTTCATGTAAGAGCCGTGTAGAGGGCTGGCATGTAGCTCAGGGGCCCTGCCTGCCTGGCAAGCACAAGGTGCTGAGTTCGAGGTCCAGTACCCCCCAAAAAACAAAAACAGTCATCCTAGAATAGGCGCCCCCAATTGCTGGCTCTTAATTATACAGTCTTTGGGGTTTTTCCTCTCCAGGGACATGAATTTTATAATCCTCAGAAGAAAAATTACATTTTCCTGCGTAACGCTGCTGAGGAGCTAAAGCCCAGGAATAAGAAGTAGCAGCCTGCCCGCGGGCGTGACCGGAGTGCGCCTCTCCGAGAGGCTCCGTCTCTGTTGGACTTCTGGGCCCAGCCGTAGGCAGCCGTCAGCCGTGGACAGGAGGAAATGGTGTTGTCACTGTCCGCAGTCAGCTGCTGGTCCTCGGCCACCTGCCATCTCCTCGGTCCACTGCCTGCTGCAGTGGCTGCAGCTCGGAGGGGACGGAAGTGACTGCGGAGTGGACATGTGGCGGGCGGTGCCTCGCTTGCGGCTCTGGGCCCCGCGCTGCATTTTGTAATAAAGTATTTTGAAGGCTGCGCCATGGCTTCCTTTGTTCTCTCCCGCCCCTGTACCATGGTCCTGGAGTGGTCACCGCAGTGCTGGCTCTTCAGTTGGTGTCGGACCCCACTGGAGAACGCAGGAGTCCACGTGCCATGTCCTGGCTCCTCCACACTGATGGACAGTTGGCAGTGTTTTCTGCCCCGGTTTCCCAGGCCTGCTGGCCAGTCCCCACCCACTGAAGTGGGGCTGCCCCTCCTGCTGGGTGGTGGCCTTCGCTGGGTTCCCTTGCAAGGCTCTGATGGGTGACCAAGGTGGACCCCACGGGAAGCCGGTCTCCCGCGTGGGAAGGGCTCCGAAGCCTGCACCCGCAGCGCGGGTCTGGGATGTTCCACCTAACTGTGGCCCCTGTTGCAGCTCAGGTTTTCAGGGTACAAGGCAGGCGCACTGGAGAAACCTGAACTTTGACGTTGACAGTTCATGTCCCCTCCCCTTCAGGGACCAGCCTGGAGGCGGGGGTTGCAGTCTGCACCGACGGGAAGCTGGGAAGGAGAGCTCTCCAGGGCGGAGAGGCTCCAGCTCTGTTCCACGCCCAGCTTTCACTGGAGGTGGGGACGCACGAGTCACCTTCAGCCTAGCCTATTTCGTTGTTTTGCAGGCTGGCTGTGCTAGGAGGTGGAAAGATGAGCCTAAGTCATGGGCCCTTCAGGGTGTTCCTTTCCAGGCCTGGGACGCGGGTGCCGCATCGCCAGGGGGACCCTGGACCTGGCAGAACCGTTCTCACACACCCGGGGCAGCACCTGGACTGCCAAGGACCAGGACCAAGTGGGCTCTCGGTCCAGGACGGCTCGGCGCAGGCGTGGACGTGTGCTGCGTGTTGGGGTGGCAGACTGGCAAGGTCGCGTGTCACCATCAGACTTCAGGTGTTTCCGAGCTTCCTAAAACGGGCTCGGAGGAGCCTCGCCACCTGTGTGACCTGGACTGGTGTCCTGCTTCGTTTCTCTGGACTGGATGCCAAGTGGGAGGCGCTGGCGGCCTGGGTCGTTTGATGGCATCTTCTATTGTGAGAAGAGACAGTAGGACATGGCAGCCCGTACCTTGGCCTTGTTTTACTCCCTGTTAACACAGAGCTGCAGAAGACGACTGGGGCTCTTTCCCTTAATTCTCTCCAGCATTTTACCGAAACCACGAGCGTGGTCACCACTGGGATGCCGCCCTGCGCGGGCTCTGACAGCTGTACTGAGTCCTTGCTGTGGCTCCCTGCGGTCCTGCCACTGCTGGTCTAACCCTGCGTCCTGGGTTACTCATGGAGGCCCTGGGCTCCGTGGTGACAGCCACGTGGGAAGACCCCGAGAAGTACAGCTAGGGCTTCCCGCCGTGTACTCCGACCGGGTGCTTGACATCTCTAGGTGAGGAGGCTCCACGTTCCGTGCTTAGCACCGAGAAATACTGGTGCAAGAAACAGTGAAGCATGAAATAATACAGTGGAAGTGAAACGCCTCGCCGGAAGGTTCTGCTGGCGTCAGCTACCTGACGAGGCCCACGTTGCCATCGCGGGGTGCTTTGGGAGGTGATTCTCAGGCACGATCGGAGTCTCCACGGGAGGAGGGGCCCAGAAAAGCCCGGCTCCCAGACGCTCCCAGACATAACACGCTGTGTCCACAGCAGAGTCTTCCGCGTGGAATCGGGGCCACCTGGTAGGGTGTGAATGTAGTTCTGCAGTGGCATTTAAAAGGTGGGGCCAGAATCCCAGCGCTCGGCAGGCTGAGGCAGGAGGACTGCGCTGAGTTTGAGACCAGCCTGGGCTACATCAGCGGGTTGAAGCTCAGCCTGCACTACATTCCACAGTGGGACCCCCTCTCAGCCCCCAAGAATGGGCCACAAGGAGCCCACCGTGTCTTCAAGGGCACCCTTCAAATGGGACGTGCTGTTCTGTGCGTGTATGTGCAGCCACATTAGTATTTAATGGCTGTTTCCCACTGTCCTTGTCCCTTCTGCTGGGCTTAGGATGAAACCGGAGGTCCTAGTGGCACTTCCCTGAGTGCTGCCCCAGAGCCGTCTCCTCTAGATGGTGGGGGTGGGGACAGTAACTACACCAAAGATAAGGTTGAAATACCCGTATGGCTGCTGCTAAGAGCCTGTGCTTGCAGTTGGACTGACTGCCCTCAGATCCCAATGGTGGCACCAGTTTGGTAGCCTGTAGTGTGTGGTTTGAGCCTCAGTGGCCTCATCTGTAAAGTGGGAGACCAAGCAACTCTGATCGAGCACTGGTGTGAGCCAAGAGACAACACACCTCCTGAGGGGGAGGAAGCTCCGCAGCTGGCCCGTGACAGGTGCCAGGGAGTGTGCGGCTGCCTCCGTCACTGCCGGCTGGGAGGGTGGCCGCACTAAGTTTCCCATTCCTGGGGTCCTGCTCTCAGTGTGGAGGTCCAAGGAGACCTGAGCTGTCTTGAGATTCTCTCTAAGGAGGCTGTATTTCAGTCAGGCCAGAAGGTGGCGCCAGGGAGCTCCCCACCCACCCTCAGTCCATGCCAAGGTCAGCACATGGCTCAGTTTCAGTTCTGTTCAGTTTCAGTCTGGAGTTTATTAGAAGAAATGAAGAGTATCCCAGCTACTCAGGAGGCTGAGGCAGGAGGGTTGCAAATTGGAAGCCATCAGAAACAACTTAGAAAGACTGTCTCAAAGTAAGTGTTGGCCCTTAGTTTGCTGTGGGTACTAAACTGTTAAGATATTTGGAAAGTAGAATTTGAAAGGCACCGTGTGTGTGTGTGTGTGTGTGTGTGTGTGTGTGTGTGTGTGTGTCTGTGTGTGTGTCTGTGTGTCTGTGTGTCTGTCTGTGGTGCTGGGGACTGAATCCATGCAAGGTGAGAGCCACACCCCCAGCCCATGAAAGACTTCCTATTCGAATATTTTTAAAAACAATCTACTTTTTAGAAAGATGGAGGCCTCCTTAGAAAATGCTAAGAGACCTGAATGCCTTTACCTCAGGATTCAAAACTGCGCCAGCTCTATTTGATGAGGCCCTGGGAAGGCACCTGCAAGATTTTCGGGCAGAACGCCCCTTGGTCACAGTGCTCCAGTGTGTAGATGATTCACTACTGGCCACTGCAGATCTGTCCTCCTGTCTGGGAGCCACGGAGGCCCTATTGAGAGACTTGGACAAACTGGGCTATCAAGTCTCTGCCAAAAAGACACAGCTCTGCCTGCCCAAAGTCACTTATCTAGGGTATTTTTTTTTTTTTTGTCTTTTTCGTTTTTATTGGTACCAGGGATGGAACTCATGACTGCCTGCTTGCAAGGCAGGCGCTTATGCCGCTGAGCTAAATCCCCAGCCCCTTGGGGTATGTATTTTAAAAAGGGAACAAGGGGCTGGGGATTTAGCTCAGCGGCATAAGCGCCTGCCTTGCAAGCCCGAGGTGGTAAGTTCGATCCCCAGTACCAAAAAAAAGAGAAAAGAAAACAGGCTTTGTCAGACAAAAAGGTTGAGGTTGCCTTAAAATTCCCTCCCCCAAAGACTAAATGTCAAGTTAGAGAATTTCTAGGTGCTTGGGCTACTGCCCGTGTGGGTTTTGCTGAAATGGCCCAGCTGCTCTACACCTCTCCTGGAGGGGATCCCTCTGGACCTCTAACCTGGATGAGCTAGAGGAACAACCTTTCGAGGATTTAAAACGAGTTCTCGTGAGTGCTCCAGCCTGGCTCTCCCTGACTTAGCCAAACCTTTCCCATTACATGTGGCCGAGAGTCATGGGGTAGCAAAGGGGTCTTGGCCCAGCACCGAGGGCCCCGGGAGAGGCCTGTCGCCTGTCTTTCCCGGCGATTAGACCCCATGGCTGCAGGGTGGCCGAATCACCTACAGACAACTCAGCCAGCGCGACCAAGGAAGCCACGAAGCTGACTTTTGGCCAGAGACTCCAGATGGAGGTGTTGTACTTCCCTAAAAAGGTCCCTGAGATGGAAAAGATGGGGCAAAACGATGTCGTTTTTAGGAAGAAGCACTTTTATTTTAGCTGACCCAGCGACACAGTGCAGATGGAGTCTGCAAAGCTGTGCGACTGGGTTAGAATTTTGACTGATTTTTATAGCCCATTTACGATTATCTCATTGACCACTAAGTACATAGCGATGAGAAACAGAAACAAGGTGGGCCTTTGTTGCCCTTTGCTTGAGGTCAGAGGCATTTCCCAGTGGGTGGTCAGCCAATTCATAGCCCTTGGTCTGCCAACTCCAGGAACATTTATCTCTCATAAAGGGAACAATGGTTGACACAGCGTCATCTGTCTCTTACAAGTTGACATAGCACACAGGTCACTAAGGTGGGGGGGGGATGCCGCATTACAGAACAGCATAACGACACGGTCAGTTAATTTATCTGTGTGGTTGGTGCTTGGTTACTAGAGTAATGAACTCAGTACAGGAGGACAATATTGCTAATAACTATCCTTTTAAGTAACTATTTTTGCTAATTATCTTTTAATCAATTATTTTAATTTTTCAGCATCTTAGTATAACAGTGGCCCCACACGCTGTGGAGACACTATAGCGGTCGCCTCCTGATAGATGGCTTTCCAACGCTCGCATTGTCCAGTACCAAGCCCTTCTACTGGATGCTGACCACAGCAAGTTCCTGTCTACCTCTGCCCTCAGTCCAGCGGCTCTCCTGCCTGATGATGACTCTCAGTGGTGATACCTAATTGTATGGACATTACTGACTCGGTTTTAAGCCTGTGAGCTGACCTGACTGATGTCCTGCTTGCCCAGCCTGAAGCCACCCTTTTCACAGGCAGCAGCGGTGACCTCCAAGGTACTCGAGTGGCGGGAGCTACAGTGACCACCGAAACTGAGGTAATATGGGCCTGAGCTTTAGGATCTGGAACTTCAGCTCAGCGGGCAGAACTGATAGCCCTCACTCAAGCTACCATCCATGTGCATGGGGCCACTTATCAGGGAAAAGGATTATTAACCTCAGTAGGAAGAAAGATAAAAAATGCCCCCGAGATCTTAGACCTCCTGGCTGCCATTTGGTTTCCTTAAAAGATTT